AAAGAGAACCACATTACTTCTGCATTCGTGTCCCAGGGAGAGACACGTAACAGATAAAACATTTCAATTACAGCAATAAGGGCAGTGAAACGTCTTAAATGGATGCTCAAGACAAACAATTTTTGCATAGTTTCTAATCCTCTAGTGATTAATATCCAAAGGGCAGGTTAAAAAGAGGGCAGGCCACCACCCTGAGAGCAGTCTCACCTTTTCCATCCCTCTACCCCTTTTGCACAGGACTCTAGCACCCTACCCCAGCTCCTACCACCAACGGCATTTCTTAATTTTTTTTTTTAAAAAAAAAACAAACAATGGCTCCCTTCTTTCCTGCTTATCACATTCTAGTTCAATTACAGCTCCTCAGCCCAAGTGGAGGGCAGTTAGAGGACAAAATTCCTGCTTTCTGCAGGAATCCAGACCAAATGTCTCTCTTGCTCAGAGCCATTATGAAACCCACGCTGGTTGCAGGGGCAGGGCAGACACTGTCCAGATGTGCTACTTACAAAGATGCTCAGCAGGATCAGATTCCATGGAAAATACCTCCTGCAAGTGAAGAAACGGAGGTTGGTCAGCCCTGCGATGCAGAGGGCAGAGGTAGTTGGCAGTGCTGCACAACAGGTTGCATAAGATCGGCCATATAATTAATGGCCTGTGCAGCAAGTGGCAGAGGTGGTGCAAGGAGATGGTCATCCCGTTGGGAATGAGAGAGCATTTGGGATGCTCCTAGACCAAGAGGGCAAATGGCCCCATGATATTCCAGCAGAACAGCCAGCAGTGCCCTGCTTCACTGAAAGCAGAGACAACCATCCTCTGCAGTATTTAATAATGAGAATTTGGAGCTACATGGCAATGCCATTTTTGCTGCTACGTAGCTTCTTTCCCAGTTGCAATTTGACTCCAGCTTTCAGTGCTGTGTTGCAGCGATGCACAACTGCATCAGGCTGCCATCTCAGTCCCTACATCACTGTGTCAGCATGGCCCCATCCCATCTCCGCAACATTGCTGGGCATGCTTGAAACAAGAGGAAAACATTCATCCTTCATTTCACAGGGCTGTTTCAAATCCAAAAAGAAAATGTTTTTACCTGAGTCCAGAGCAACAAGCAAGAATCAAGTAGGTCACAAAGAAAACAACGCTGCAAAGAAGAGAAAAAGAGCAGTTTAGGGAGGAAAAGCCAAGGATTGTGTGTTAGTGCAGGAGAAAAGTCTCCAGCTGACAAATTTCAGTGCTCTGCTGCACTGTTAAAATGCAAACACCGTGCCAGAAGTTGAGGCTGGGCGGGAAGCAAACCTCTCACTGAAACTGTTTTCTGCCCACAGCTGCCTACTTTGTGTAGGCTGGTCCCCAAGGTGGGACAGCACAAACATCCCTGAAAAATCTGAAGGGTGGTTTTAGAGCAGAGCAAGGGTAGCATTCAGGTCCAGGATAGATGGAGCACCCAAAGGTGTTGTTGTTGACATCTCGTCAGTGCCTGAATCGCTCATACGGAGGTGGCCAGACTTTGCCCCTCGTTTCCAGGCATTTCCTGGCTTGGTGGGATCAAGGCATCCTGCTGGGATTTCAGCAGCGCTTAAACCAAGATTCATAGGGCTGGTAAAAGTGACTTGCCTAAGGCCAGATGGAAGGTCTGTGTCGGAAAAGGGAACCGATCCCATGTTACTGCACCAGCGCTCGAGGAAGAGTTCAACAGCAGAAGGATCCTCTAAGATCAGCGAATCTCACAGACCCAAGCCTAATATGCTGTTGCACAAGCCATCCTCAGGTCACAGGAGAGTTATTTATCTCACATGACTTGACCCTTCAGCAAAGCAAAAAAAAAATCCAACAGCTGAGGGATGGTCTCCCTCTGCTCTGGACATCACGCAGCCCGGGTGTTTTTCCACAGTGTTGATGGGTTATGGCACAGTGGGAACCTGCTTACCCACTTTCCCCCAGCGCCTGAGGGAGGAAAGCAGCTTCCAAGCATGCCGATGGCTGCACGATAGCCAGTCACTTTAGGTCTAATAAATGAACGTGACGGCAAAACCCACGGGCCATGATAAATGCACCAGAGATAAACTTGAGCATTGCTCTCCCACGGGGAAACCAGGAAAGCTGGAGTAGACACGGCTGAATAGATGGAAAGAAAGCACGTAGGGAGCAAAGAGAGCCATTGCAGTTGTCCCTCTCCTTTGCATCCCTTCTTGCACATCTGCTCTTGCTTTATTCCCTCTGAGCCACCACCCCAGCAGTAGGACAATACCCTAGGGCACCCAATTTTATTTTACAGAGGTGTGTATATAGAGTTGGGGTGTCCGTGTATGAAGGACATCCAGACCCAGATCAGGACAAGCAATTGGAGACACTGGGATGGAGAGAAGGGTCGGCTCACTGTGAGGTGAAGGGACAGACAAAATTTAAGTCCCTCAAGTACAGAGCCTACCCCCAGCTGGCCCAAGATATGCTTGCTCCTACTGAAAGACAGGAAGAAATAAATGCTAACTGCCCAGTAAGCTGCAAGAGATGAACCCAAAGGTCAAAGCATAAACCTGAGCAGAGCTCGATCTCATCTCCCTACGAGGCAATGCTGCTTCTCCGATCTACCAGCTGGCCAAGGAAGAGCACGGTAAGGTCAAAGAAGCATGCTGATGCCAGTTCCCTTCTATTACTGCTATTTTGGGTCTTTTTTTCTAAGTTATATAAGCCCGTGTCTCATCTCCGGGCCAGGACACATTTCACGATTTGGGTGTGAACTAATTAAAGTCAAGTTCACAGAGCCTTGTTCACAGACAATTGCATCGCACACTCTGTCTGCTTAATTAGCAGCACTAACACAAGCGGCATCCAGGAAACGAGCACAACTGCAAATACATTAATGCATGGAAGCACAGCACACGCTACCTCTGAGCTGACCTTTTGGGCCAGGCTTGACTAATGAATGGCTTCCCAAATTCCAGGCACTGAGAGCATCTCCGTGATGAAGACTCAGGCATGACAGCCCCACTCGGACATGGCCAGAAATATCCTAATAACTCCAAATGCACCCACCCCCCTTCACTGCCTGTGCCCTTCTTCACATCTGTTGCCTATCAACGCATGCGATGTAAACCCGGGCAACCTCCTTGCTTTCAAAGGGACAATCCCTAAATTAAGCCGCTAAGGTACCTTTGGCACCCTTGCAGGTCTCACATCTGGGTTTCTGCACCGTTTTCCTGGAAGCTTCCCAGTTTTACTTCGTTTGCTCTGCAAGCAATGCTTATGTGTTTACTTTGATCTCAGCTCGTAGAGCCCTCTTTTTAGAAGTATTTGAAGTTATCCAGCATCTCTCATACTCATTTAGGTGAGATTTTCTATCTTCTCACCCCAGACTTATCCATGAATTTCCCCAGCTCCCCCTGCACGTGTATTGGAGAAGTTCTTCACATGCAAAATACCAAAGTGTTTGGAAAGTGTCATCACATCACCACAGCCCCATCCAGAGCTGTTTGGAGCATACATGGTTGTAGGAGACAGAGATACTCACTAGGAAGCCCAATACCAGGCAGAGTTCGCCTGAATGTAGACCTTGACCGGCTCACTGCAAGATAGAGAAAAACGGATGCTGAGCAGAAAGCATAAAAAAAGCCAATCACTTCACAGGTTGCTGCTAAATTAAACCTGGGAACGTGCACAGGATGATGCGGCACGGGGTATGTGGAAAAAAAAAAAGCACAACTGAATCTATCTGGCAGACTGACCAACTGGAAGGAAATTCAGCCTGTCAAGTCGGCAAGACAGCCCTGCTGTTATCTATTACACAGTCGGGCTTGCTCGGGGAATGGCCACTGCCTTCTCTGAAAAGCGATTAAGGAGCTGAAATCCTCAGGCTGACCGTGATTCATTATTTATTCTGGAGGCAACATGAGCCACGCAAGCCCAAAATGCTCAGTCACCTGAGCTAGAGACAGCTGCTGCTCAAGTGAGGGGTATCTGCTTCTGCACGGGGAGCTAACCCAGTCCCTGAAGCCAAGGTAGGCTGGGATCTGATGGCCTTGATAACTCCCAAAGGAAAAATACAGCAGTTAATACTCGAGGGCAAGCAGCCCAGGCCTCTTGGCTGAGGATAGCACCTAGAATAGATGATGCACCATCCAGAGGACATGCGGGAAAAGTACTAGAAGTACTGAAGGACCTCTCAGGGTTCCCTCAGTTTTGTTTTTCTGTTGGAGCACATGGGGGAAAAAAAAAAAATTAAGTATCTACATAACAGACAACCCCTCCAAGTAACAGGTCATTGAGGAGCAGGTCATACACAGGACAAAGCAAGCATTACTGCTACACAAGAGACCTACCAGAAGGTGAAGAAAGCCACAATAGCAACAGTGACAAAGAGCTGGATCATCAGGATGGTGTAAACCTGCAACGAGAGGCAGCCCATGGGTGACCCGCAGACTCTCTGCTTCCCACCCCGCCTGGGGAAGCCAACAAAGCCATCACAGCCAGGTCCCTCCAAGGGCTCGGAGCTGGTTTCCTACCTTCACAGGGCAAGGCTGAGCCTGGAGACAATCGCCCCTTACCTTCCTGATGAACACTCTGCGCACGTTCCTGTCATCCCAGCTGAAGGTCGTGAGCATCTCCGTGTCCCCTGAGTACCTGCCGCTGCCATAGCTCGGTCTTGTGCCTGAAGCAGAAGCCAGATAGATCAGCTCCCATTACCCAGTTCCCTCCCCAGCCGCAATAATCTCACCCCAGTGATTGACTACAGCTCAGGAGGCCCAAATTTCAAGGTTTTCGTGTTGCACTGCAAAACAGAGACTTGCTGGGATGCGCTCTGCTCTCTTCCCACTCCTGCATCTTATTAGGACCATCTCCGAGAACAGAGGAGGGAAACCACTTCAGCAAACTCCAGCACAACAAGGACACCAAGGTTAATTCCTGCCTATGGTAACACCATATCTTTAATGGCAATTAGAGGGCTCGTATCATATTCTTGCTCACCTTTCACTGAATATTAAAGTGTTCCCCAGAGGAGCCGTGACTCAGCACCTCAGTCATTCCCATCAGGAGGTCTGCAGCCGGAGGATTCCCTTGCTGCTCTGTAATTGCCTGAGCTTAGACTGTGTTTGCATCATGTCTTATGTCAACTGTGTGCCCTCTCCTCTGAGAGAAGCTCGTTACAGCCAGCTTTTCCATAATGTCCATCCCTGAATCTGATTTCCATGCAGGGAGTCAGAGAACAGTTTAGCAGCAAGCTTAAACAAGGGGGGCAAAAAACTCCGATGCTACTGCTGAGAGTACCGTCCTCAAAAGTCATTGTACCACACAACCCAGCTCTGCTTTGCTGAAGGCTCTGTGATACAAGCTTTGGTTGCTGGAGTTCCCCTGCAGATGAGCAAGGAGGAAGGCTGGACCATAAAGCATCAGTTTGTTCTGCAGCCTGAAGTGAGATGGAGGGAAACATCAGAAAAATCTCGGCCTGCCGGGGAGGCGACTGTGCCGACAGCCATGAAGGTAGCAGCAAGGATATTGCAGGGTAGGGCATTGCAAGGAGAAACCCAAAGCAGCAGCTTCTCCTTGCTAAGATCAGCTGCACACACTAGGTATGAGAATCAGCCTTCTCCATCTCCTGAACCTTGTACTCAAGAAAAAAAATAAAACAAATACCGAAATCTCCATTGTCTTAGCACATCATTCCCCCTGTGCTATTTGCTTCTCTTCCAAATATCCTCTTCTGTGTTACTACTGCAGATCGGAAACCACCTGGGTTTCCTACAGAATGAAGGCTTATGCGATTACACCAGCTATACATTTATATCCCTGCCTGTTTGACAGATGCCTCCCCTCCTTCTCAAAGCTTTTTAGCTCAGTGATACTCAGATCCTTCAGGCAGGTGGAGGAAAGACCCTCTCAAACTCAGAGGACAGGCTGCAGACACCAGGAAAGCCAAACTCAAGGCCTCGGTCCTGGATTTTTCCTGTTTTACTGGGCAAAGGTTGCTTGCTCTTATTGCAGAAGCCTCATCCTAAAGATGCTCTTGGCAGGAAATAAATCCCTTGTGCTCTTCTTGTGCGTAATAAATCTCTCGTGCCGCTTTCTACGCCTCAGTGGAGATGAAGCTTCTGCAGTATGTCCTTCCTGCATTTCTGCGAGATCCGTCATCACCCACGCGGGGCAGAGAGCACCTGAGGCCCATACCCCAGGGACACTTCAATGCCTCCTGCGTCAAAGCAATCAAGGCATCTAAACACCAAATTAGGCACCTAAATGCCTCAGAGGAATGGAGGGGGTTTCCTCCTCCCTGGCTAGTATCCCCTGCACCCATCACCTCCCACCCATGGCCACATCTGAGGCAGCAAGAGAGCGTGTTCCAAGCTCATTCTTAAAGAAAGCAACCCAAAATGCATACTACTTCTCTCCAGCTACTGCCAGTGTCATATAAGCTGTTAGACACAGCCCCATGGCACGTGTCCCCATCCACACCATGGTACAGGAGCCACAGCTTGCAGCATGGCTGAGGGCAGAGAAAGGGGAGAGGGACATGAAATCAGAGGAAAACGCTAGCAAGGATCAGGACACAGCTGCAGAGAGGAAATCCTGCCAGGCTTGTCAGGGAGGGGACAAGAGATGACACATCACCTAAACGAGTCCTCTGGGATACCCAGAATACCGGCATCCTAACCCATTTGGGCTTTACCCATCCTAATTCATCGTGACAGTAGAAAGACCCAGATGGTTGTTAAAGCAAGTTGGGAGGTTATTTATCCCTTCTGTTTCTGACCCCTGAAGGCAAGCAAGAACGGGAAAAGGCTGTGAAACCATGGGAGTGCGCAAGCACACACATCTCAGAGGGGTTTAGCTTGCTCTTTCCCCTTCCCTAAACATCTCCATCCCTGCAGCTGCGGCCATTCCCACCGGATGGAACAGGCAGTCAAAGTACGGAAGAGGATTGAGCAGAGAGAGCGGAGTCATTAAACTCAGGCCCTCCAGTGCTCTCGCCAGTTCAAGCTGTGCTGACCAAGCAGTTGGCCACCCCAGCAGACTCGCTTGCCGGCCACTGCATCCATCCCAGCTTGCCCCTACACAGCCATTCCCCTGCATTGGGCACAGTCGAGCCTTTGTCTGCTTGTCACGACCAAGCAGAAGCTGCACGCAGCAGCCAGGGAAGAAAAGCCGTTTGTTTGCCAAGGAGTCGGCCACATAGACCAACGCTGGAGCAGTTCAGCCTTCAAGTTCAGCTGTGTTTTAGCCTCCACTGGCTCTGAACACCAGCTCATCGCAGCCAGACATCACTGATGCTGCGACACCAATTTTGCCAGTTCAGCGGCTTCTTTGAAAGCTGAGGTTGAACAGGTTGCTGCCTGCAGAGCTGGGAGCATTGCACCAGGACTCTCTCCAGCCGTGGGAGGTGGCATTGCCCAGTGCAGCAAGCTGGGAGAGGGGATTTGTCCCACCCCAGTACTGGGAAGGAGAGCAGGGACAGAGCACTGGAGGCTAGTCCCACATCTGGAATGCAGCGTGGTTTCGTGGTTGGGTGAAGTGGTTTTACATATAGACTTATATAGCTTATAGCTACAGCTGTAGGGTGAGATTTACCATGGACCAAGCTGGGTACCACATCCCTGGTTCCCCTCTTCTCTACATGTTTGTACAGGGAATCTCTGCACCCCTCTACCCCCTCTGCAGGGGCTCAACCGGAGCCGGAGGAGGACTTACTGGTGTTGACGTAAGCCCAGCTGAGGTAGAGCGGGACTGATTGGGGAGGAGGGTAAGCACCAGACTTCATCCTTTCTCCCATTGTCGCCTCCTCATAAGTTGGAGGAGCTGATGGAGCAGTGGCATTGTCCTTCTTCTCCCCTTGCCCCTCGGAGCTGGGGGGTTTGTTGTTCACAGAGAGCTGCCAGAAAGGGGGAGAGGCAGGGAACAAAGATTAGACTGCAAGAACAGCAGAGAAACTGCCCTGCAATGGGAACCTGATCGGGCACAGACAGAGGTCTGGGGGTCCCTCCGTTGGAGGAAGGGATCAGGAACTGGAAGGACACTCGGCAACTCCTGTGGCCTGGCAATGGACCCATCCTTGCACCCCCAGGAAGGAGCATCCTCTGATGTGATCAACGGAAGAGGTGGGAAAACACCTGACGTGCTCAAGGAGATGAAAGATTATAGGCAACCAGGTCTGAGGGGAGACACGGCCTTGCCCAGAGTCCTACATGGTGCCTCAGGCTCAACACATAACACTGGAAAGCATCCAAATAATTCTCTGCTTTTCAGCCTACTTCTTTCTAAATTCCCTTTTAAAAAAGAGCTTTCAGTTACTGGGCAGAAAATCCCCAACTCCTTCATTTCCACTTACACACACACATTTTGGGGAGTTTCTCCTAGCCCCCAGGAAGGGCTCTGATTTGGCTCTCCAGCTTTTTTTTCCTCTAGCTCACTCATTCCTCTCTGCCCATCTAGAGGCTCAGCTTTGCTGCTTTCCACAATTTGAAGATGCAGCTGAGGGACTTGGTATCCCATGTGTTCAGACTGTGAAATCCTAGCAAAGACCCAGCCTCAGGCCACCTGAGAACTTGCTTCTCCTTGGGAACATTATCCATTTAACCTTTCAGATCTTTGTCATCCTGGGATAAGTTATGAGCCTGGTATCCTGCCCTTGCTGCCAAAGGGGGTACCAGCTCAGTGTCGGGGATAGCATCGCCATGCATCACAGGGATGCAGGGCTAGAGCCACAAAAATCCCAAAATGAAGCAGACTAACTAACACAGCAACAAACAGCACAGTCCCTGTAAGAAGGTTTTAATTTAAAAGTGTAATACGCCTTTGAAAATAAAGCCAGGGTACCAGCCTGGGATGTGCACCACAAGCAGATCCAGCTGCATCGGGATAACTGTGCCGCCTCCTCTGCCAGCTCATAGGGACCGTCCTCACCCTGTCCTTTGTTACATAGCCCTTGGGTATAGGGTGGCCAATATTATGCATAGAACCCCCAGAGTTCCCCAAGGAGATACAAGAGGGACAGTGCTGCCTGCATCCAGGCAGCCTCCAGCATCGTTGTCATGGCAACTGTGCTGGCAGAGGATGCATAACTCCCCCCACACCCCCTGGTCTCAGAGCGCTGGCAAACCCCAAAAATCCAGAGCTCCCTGGACCAGGAAGGAGGTGCTCAGGGCAGGTGCCAAGTGCTGACTGCTGGGGGGAAGGATAGGAAAGGACAAGCACCCCACCGACCTCCCTGACATCCAGAGGGAACAGCCACAGGTCCAACAGCAGCATTGAGCTGCACATCCAGCACCAGAAAAAACAGCCCCCAACCCCATAATGACAGCCCTCCATCCCCTTCCTCTGCCAAAACCACCCCCATCGCAGGGGTCAGTGCACTGGGCTGTTATTGTTTTATTCCTTAAACCCCCTCCCTTCAACCCACTTTCACGCTCTAAACACGCCACAGTTATGCAAGCAGGACAACTCATCATCCCAGCCCTGGCCTCCCACCTACCTTCCCCTGGGTCATGGCTCCTCGCTAACGATGCTGCTGGACCCCGCGAGCAGCAGCAGGAAGGAGAGGGCTGTAGCTGAGCAGTCTCCTCACCAGGTCCCTTCCACCTCCTCTCCCGGGATGTTTCTGAGCTGGCTACAACCGCTGCAGCCTCCGCTGATACCTTCAGCTTCTAGCAAGATCCATGGAGCTACTGGAGCGAGGACCGTACCATTCCCAGCCTGCAGCACAGGGGGAAGCCAGGAAAAAAACCAGCTAAAACAGAGGCAAGCGGCCACCAACAGCGATGGGGAGGATGCAGGGATACAGCACTGGGGAGACAGCAGCACAGTCCCACACCACAGGGTGGAAAGAATCTGCCCCAGAGATGCTAAACTCGGGGCTGGGATTGCAAAGGGGAGGGAGATGCGAAGGATGCTTTGCTGCAGCATCTCGCTGCTGCTGCACGGCAGAGCTGACCACGGATCAGCAGCTTACACAGACCCTGCTGCAACCAGGGCTATCATGGGGGGCTGGAGGCTCTGCTGGGACAGAGAAGGCCTGAGCCAAGCTCTGTAACACAAGAGCAGGAGGGAGGAATCACACATGGCCCTGGCTCCTTTCCTGACCCTTTCCAGGCTTTGCCTTATCCTTGAGGATAAGGCTCATTGACCCTGCATGGATCGGTGGATGCTCTCGGCATCAATGCAGCCTCACCTGGGAGGCACAAGGAGAGTTTGGAGGTGTCCCAGGGCAGCCAGCAGCCCCATCACCAAAGCAGTATTGTTAATTCAAGCCCATGAAGGAGGGTGCTAAATCAGGAGTCCAGCTTCCAGCCCAGACCACATCCAAGGGAAGGGGCACAAAGTGGATGAGGTTTTGCCCCCCATGACAGGGTCTCAGGGGGGCAGTGGTGGTGATTACAGTCTCAAGGGCACAGGCAGCAAGAAAGGGGAAAAAAACCTGTCCCTTTACATAGTGAAGTGCTTCACATGGGCAGAAGATTTGTCCAGGACAGAGGAAGAGACAGACAGTACAAACACAGCACACCCTCTACCTAAACAGATGGAGGGACAGGCTTGTGATGAATGAGAGATGTCAGCAGAGCAGTCTTGTGCTGTGTTCCCACGAAACAAAAGCACAATTTGAGGCAGTTCTGGGACTACACTCAGGCTAGGAGCTGCACCCTACATCCCATCTCCCTCCGATCCTTCCCCAGCCCCTTCCTCATCTGTTGCTTGTAATGCCATAAGCATGCATCACACCTCAAATTAGTTTGCCAAGACTATAATACAGGTACAAAAAATAAATTAGCTTATCTGGTTACTCCACCATGAAAAACAAAAAGCCCTGCCACATTTTATGCTCCCTAAACACAGTCCTAGAGAAGGTGAAGAATAGGCTGTCTGCAAGGAAAGGAGGTTGAAAAGACCATCCCCGTTCGCAGCTTCTGCGAAGCAGCAGGCAGTGGAGGGGTTAAAAGGAAAGCATGAGCTGGAAATGAAAGAATGCAGCCAAGCAATGTGCAGCTGGCATCCATTCAGACCTAGCCCGAGCTATTCAATTGGAAAGAGAGGCGATTACCACAAGGACTGCAAAAACTTGTCAGGATTATTCAGGATCAATTAAGTGCCAGTTAACAACAAGCTCCTCAAGGGCTTTCATTCTCCTCGAGGTTGAGCAGAGGCATAAAACTGGGCAGGTCTCAAGTGAGGGAGAGAAACTCAACCCAGAAGGTGGGGTTCTCACTGCTCCTGCCCAGCGCAAGGAAACCATGCTTGGCTTGTTGACCCCCTTCAAGTATGGGGCGAGCCAAGGGGTCAAGGGCTTGGGAACAGAAACTCCAGGTGATGCATGGCATTGTGGTGAGAAAGGAGACACCCATTTTCTTAACAAACCCCAGAAGGACTCATCCCCCCTGCAGTCCCCGGCCAAGCCAGATTTCTTGATGGGATAACGCAAGACCCCACATGCTCCATCCCAGTCTGAAAATGCTTGAGAGTGCTAAAATACCAGGTCTGGAAGAGGAAAAACCCTCAGCAAAAAGAAACAGATGGCATTGCCTATCACAACAGCCTCCCTCTAAATAAAAAGCAGCAGGGAAGAGAAACCAAACCTCTCCACCACCCTGTTGTCTAGAAGGCCCATTCCCATCCTCTGAGCTCCCAAGAGGGTATCTCAGTCTTCCCTCACTGCCCAGCCCCAAAACAAATCCACCACCAACAGGCAATGTTTTCAGGGAGCTCTGAGAAACCATCATGTCTTTCCCCATCCAGGAAAATTAGGAGAGCCCATGGACTGCAAGGCTTGAAACGAGTCTCAACTCCGCCATAGAGGAGACAAGGATGACTCTGCCCCGCTAATGGCAATGAAAAGCAGAGCCCTTCAGCCCTTGCAGGGACCACCTTCTCCACCAAAAAAGCCCCTCCAAGCCTGGTTCCTTACTTTTCCGTTTGAGCTGAAAGCTCCTGAATGTGCCAGAGTCCTACCAAGAAGGCAACCTAGATCATCTGTTCTCCCAGGCACACTAGGATGGTAAGTACACACATGAGCCAGATTCCGCATTGTGATGCTCACACACAGTATCCCAGCAACCATTCATAATGCCCCGTCCAGCTCAGCACCAGGCCCTGTGAAGCAGCCATTCACCTGCACACACTTACCTTTAATATTCAGGAAAAAGAAAATATCTGTCAAGGTCACACCCTGCCAGATCCAGGGGATTTCACAGGGATTAAAGCAGTTTTGCTGAACACTTAATCACATCAAAAACAAGATAAAGAAAACCTGATGGGATAATTAAGGGATCTGCTGCATCAACAGACATGATGGCACACCCAGGAGCTCTCTGTAAATACAGCTTCTCCCATCCTCAAGAGGGAAAAGCCCCCACTGGCAGCAAATAGTCTGCCATGGGCTTAAAAAAAAAATAATTAAAAAACCCCAGGAATTTGCCCCAGGCTTTCAGGCTACTGAATTATCCATGGATTTTTGAAGCTAAATCCTGCCACCAGGCTTGGTCCTTAGATGGGAGATTAACAAGCAAGCTGTGAACATCAGGACATGCATGAAGAAGGGTTTGGAAGGAGAAGAGAAATAAAAGCACCCTTATTCTTGAGGGGCAAAGCCCTGCCCTCATCTCCCATCCCACCAGCACCCTAGGCAGAGGGTAGGCAGGGAGCTCCCCAGTGCCTGTCAGCCCCAGGTGAGCCACCCCAGAGCCTCACATCCATGAGAGGTGGAAACCTGCTCCCAAGAGCCAGCATCTTCCTTCCTGGCCACCTTGTACCTTCTTGCTCTTGTGCAGAGTCCCTCAGCTAAAATCATCCTCCTTCCTTCCCAAGCTGTTCTTGAAAAGCAGAGTTAACTTTCCCTTAACATAAGGAGCTGGACAAGCCAGAACTATTCGGGATGGGATCTTCTCCTCACCAGTTTCCTGCAGTAAGCATCAGTCTCCAGCTCAGGCCTTGAGAGCCCACGCTAGTACCTGAGCTGAAAATAGAAACCCAACCCTCCATCACCCCCTTTATACCATCAGTTTTGCATTGCCTGGAAGAAAATGCTGCAAACTGTGCCCAGCTGAGCTGTTGCACCTGATCACAGGCACCCCAACTGCTGGTTAAAGTTAATTTAAGCCCTTGGAAGGGCATTTTAATTAGAGAGGGTTCAAACCTCAGTGATGAGCAGTAGTTGCAAGTCAGCTGGGGACCATTATCCGAGCAAGCTTCTTGGTTGCTTTCAATTGTTTGCCTGTGTCATGGGGCTAAGACAGTGATTTGGTGCTTTGAGAAACTTTTTTTTAAAACCCCTCCAGAGCTGCTGTGTGTGATTTTGGTGAATTGTAGGGAACAGGTCCCAGTGGTGAGGTTAAAAACTAAACGGAAGCAAAATCCGTGATACCCACAAACCGCGTCAGAGGGTGACAACAACACACGCGCATACACCAACCAAACAAATAGATAAATATAAAGATGAGGCACTCCCAAGGATTAAATTGTTCAGCTGCTCAGGAGTGCATTTCACTCATCGCTGCCAGAAAAACATGTTCTTACCACCATCATGTGGGTTTGATGCTGTTAAATGAAAGGAATTGCACAAGTATGCAAACTTGCCTCCCTGGGAGTGGGGGAACAGAACAGGTTGGGGTGACACTTGGAGTGACATCTTCATGCCACTCTGCAGTTTCTTCTTTAAACTATTATGAAGGAACTTTATATAATACAATCCAGAGATGTGCACAGGAATTTTTTAAATTCTTGTGAGCCCATACGATGAGTGACCCGTGGCTTTGTGGTGACACAGCAGCCTGACGCCCAGGACCCAGGCGATCAGCAGGGAGAAGAGATGGAGGAAGGAGCTTTGCTGCATTTCAGAGCCCAAATTTCCAGCACTGAAACTGGCCTAAAATCCAGGTTTGTTGGTGCCATCCCAGAGGAGCTTCTGTCTTTGCCCTGGAAGCTCAAAGTTAGAAGTGAGGGGGTGTCCTGTCTGACCTAACGATGTCCCAGGAATAGCTTGTAATGTGTCCCCTGTCCTCCAAGCCCACGACCTCTGCCTTCCTTGCCTACATCCCCGAGCGAGCAAACACCCTTGCGTTTCCTCCTCTGCATAGCTCCAGAGTTCCTAGCGAGCCGTTTCCTTCTTCTCTTTCCTCCTTAAAACACAACTTTCCCATAACATCCCTGCACATGTGACTTTGCTAGGTCGGGAGACTGATGCCAGCCTTGCCGAAAGTAACTTCATTTCCTCAAACTCACCCATTTGTTTGCAGATTTCTCTCCCACTGTTACACCACGAGTAACTTGATAAGCGCTGCGTGGGTCTGTACAGTCTTGCACCAAGCTGTCCTTGTCCAAGATCAGGGCTCCTACGCTCCACAGTAACCTAAAGTAGAAGATTTGCCGTCTTGGTGTGTGCTCTTTGAGTGGGATTGTCACAGTTTATGGTGTATGACAATGCCCCTTGCCCCCGTGTGACCTGGCTCCTCTTGGATTCTCACTGCAGCAAATTTATGAGCTCCATCAAACCAACAAAAA